TGAGAGAGAGAGAAAGAGAGAGAGAGAGAGAGAGAAGGAGGGGAGAGGGAGAAAGAGAGCGACTACAGGTAATAGTCACAGATGTTTCAGCTCCAGTTGAAAAGAACCGCATAGACTCAATCATAGAGTCTGGAATTGGAAATGAAAGACGGTTCAAAAGAAAGAGAAAAGTATGGTTGTCAGAATCTTTGTCTAACCCACTGCTGCAACTGTAGAGGATAAAAACTGAACACTTTGCCTGTGTCCCCAAACCAAAGTCTGAAGTGCCACAAAATTGAAAGGTCAGACTGAACCTCTATTACTATAGATTATATTTATAGAGATCTGAGTAATAATATTGTTGGAACCCAGAAGACCAAAATATCTGTAAATAATCACAGCAAAAACACATCTTTGGGTTAAGAAAGTGAACAGGGGGTCCTGGCCTGTTGTTTTCTTGTTTTTTTCACGCTGTAGTCTCTAGTGTGATCCAAGTCAAGGAACACATTATTCCTTTCACCGTTTTTTTCAGGTTTTATTCAAAACCTTCAAAATAATATAGCCATGTCCAAGGGACGTTGTGCTTTTGTAGGAAACAGCTACAACCATTACAAGAATCTACAGTGTGAGTGGAAGTAGTCTTTAGTATGTAGCTACATTGCTGAGCGCTCTTACAAAGATGAAGAATTTTTCTTTCTAGTAGTTTTTGCCTCAGTCTGGTCACATTTTTAAAAAAGAATACATACATCATAATGCTGATCCCTCAAAGCGTTTTTTTTATATATATAAGAAAAACAGAAACAAAACAAACAAAAAAAACCTCCAAACAAATCATGTAAATTTTCATATCAACAAAAATCTTTATTGTCTTCATCAACAATGGATTTACAATAATCAAAAACAATGAATATCAGTCAGTCATGTTCAGTTTAAAAACCTGTTCTGTACACAGCAATAAATTTAAGACATCTTAACTCAAAATATATACACATACAGCTCATGAGAAAGTTTTCAATATCATATATGTTTTTAAGGGTTAAACTTGACGACAACCCCATCGCTCGTAAATATGTATGGATGAGATGTATTTTAAAGTATACATCGTGTATAAAATGGCAGTATAACATCTTGTCTCAACTTTTACAGAAATGCATGATTTAATAAGATGAATATTTTCACATTACTTGAAAGTGAGAATACAAAACATGTTATCACACATGATCATGGAATTCGATCAACATGCAAAACGGGTCAAGGCAAGCCATTTGTCATTAACAGCATTCAAATAATTATATTTTTTATTTGAAAATCAAATGTGTTGGTAAGTCTTCATCAACTATAAAAACAACTCTTACATCTTTTTTTACCTCAACTTTTGATTCAAAGTAAGGGGAGGGGGTGGGAGTGTCCAAAACAAATACAAACAATGTCGACCTGATAACAATAATTAAAGTCACTGATGATTACAAAACTTACTAATAAGGAGACATTGCAGACACAAACAAAACATGATGTATATATTTATTGGGTGTTTAAAAAGAGAGCTATAATTTTAATAGATGTTACGGAAGATGGAGGAGCTTTTATTCTCCCAGTCAAATACTACGGCTTGTGAGAGACTTTACAATGTATGAGAAATTAAGAAAATACATCGCAATAATCACTGCAGGTAAATTTAGGGATGTGCGTAAAGTAACTATATATGAAGCATTCAATTCCATAGAAAATTGAACAAAAATTAATTGTAAAAAACAATTCACCTGTAGATTCTCATCAGAACTGGTTAAAATTAAAAACTCTGAAAAGTTGAATAAGTGGGGGAAAAAAAAGACACCAATGACAATGCTATACGACAGACTACTCTGAATTACTACAAATGTTGAAAAGAAATAAGATTTACTATTCCTTTTTGACTCTTGTAAAAGCAAAGTAACTGCAAGTTGAAAAGATTCCAAATTTTCATTTAAGCTATACTTTAAAAAATTCAAGTCTCAGACAGTGAACCTATAGTATAGACAAGTACGTCTCCGGCATTCCATCTTCCCATCAGTAAAATGGAACAAGTGGTTGACAGAACTTTATTGCACAATTTCATCCGGCAGTTCCCACCAACTAATACAGGAGACTCAGATAAATAGTTCTCATTAAATACAGCAAGATTTTATCGCATACAAAAGATTATTTGTTTTAACTCCAATTTTTCTACTATACTGCTTTCTATAAAATGTCAGCATAAGCAAAACAAAATATGGACCCCCCCCCCCCTCCACAAAAAAGAACAACAACAAAATTCATAAAATGATGACAACAATATAGAATGGACTTTAAGTACGGTACACATTGTCTTCTGTAGAAGTGAATGAAATCATAGCCTCGGAATGGATCGGGCCGCAGCGGAAGACCGCTTCCAACTTCAAGCGAAGTGAGGTGTTCAACCACACATTTTCACCTTAACAAGAGTACCATGGACCTACAAAGGTCTCAAACTCTTCTCTCCTGCCAAATATTCAGTTCATGACTAGAATTAACAATGGATCAGCATATTAATACACCAATATCCCTGATAATGTTATATTGAGTCCTGACTGTATTCCTTTTAAAATCTATTTACAAATATTGTCTTGAATTTATAATGAAGCACTTAGGACTGACGACTACAGTCGTTTCCTACCTTTCATTATATCTACAAATTACATCTAGTAAGTTAATCAAACTAGCTGCTAACACAGCTTTAAGACTTCGATGGTATGAAAAAACTCCTGAAACATGGCACTTTGCAGCCATTCATCAACATTAGAAGGTAACCAAAGGACTTCCCCAAACTCTTTGTTTCTATTTCTATTCATGAAAGCTCAGTGACAGGATACATTAATGACTGAGAAATTTCTATACCAAGAGCAGGTAAGAGATGAAGCAAAGTGTGTGCGGGAGCAACTGGCGCTGTCCTCTGCATGTGCCTCAAGCGTGGATGCTCAGACCTCGTTTTTGACTTCTCATTTGAACGCCCTTTTCTCCATTCTCTGGCAGACAGTCTGAATGTGGACAATTCACTGTTCATGTCTTGCGGCTTCTCCTGGTATCCAGACCACCACTGTTGTCTCCACTCTCCACTTTCAGGATCACATTGTTCACATAGTCCACTGTCTTGCCAGCAACATCAGCTTCTGTAACAATAAACGTAAGGAAAATTGTATGAGACATATGAATTCAAACTGCAACATTTTGAAAAAGTTTGCTTTAAAATTGAAACAGAACCTTTATACATTCCAAAAGGTAAAAAACAGTTCACTGAAAAAGTCCTTATATGATTAATTAAGCACAAGTGTGAGTTGTGTGTGGGTGAATTCATCTATCAAAGGAGTGTGTATATGGATTTTGTTTCTAGTAGTCTATAAACTAATTAACACAAATCAATGTGAAACCACTTAAGTGGGAGAGGCAGATTTAATTTTCACTTAAAAGAAACAATTAACTAATATATTTTATAACAAACAATGTTGACTGTGACTTAATAAATAAGAACTCTGTTTTACAAAAATGAAACATACACGATATTGAAGAGCTACAGAAAAAAAAGTCCATTTGACAAAACTGCAAATTACAACCTCACTTTTGGGCAAACACTACATTATTACACCCATTCTAAAAATCCATAAACATAAAAAATACTTACTCAGCATTTCACTGCGATATGCTGCCAGTTTCCTGTCAAGGGATTCTGATGATGAAGGCAAAGATGACATCGCTGACTTTCCCATCTGGCTCATGAAGGCTTTTGTCCTTTCTCTCAACAAGGGCCAGATAAACTTTATCACTGAATTCAGCTGACCTGTTGAAAAAGATTTTAGAATCTATTCAAAACACTGAAATTAAAGATTTCTAAATTAACAAAGAGTAATCAAGCAGGTACAGGATCTACATGGGCAACTTTCAATTAAAATAAATGACAAAATGTTCATATTATATAGGGAACCCTATTATGTAGGCTATTACAACTCAAAAACACTGTTTCATATAGATCCCTTGAATTCACAACCTGCCATCCCACACAAAATATGGAATCCTAGACAACCTACCCCCCCCCCCCCCCCCCAAACAACCCAACTACAAACAAACCAACATGTATTATTTCTTTTCTTAGGTTAATATAAAGAAAATTAATTGAAGAAACTGTACAAAATACGGTCCAAGAAAACAAAGTAGAGCTCATCAAATTCTTAAACATGGATGTGCAAAAAGCAATTGAACTCACAGTGCTCTTGTTCCAGTCCATAGAGCTTGATCTTGTTGGCCTCGTGCTGAGCCTTCTTCTTCAGTCTGCAAGCCCGAGATGCCAATTTGTTCTTTTCTTTCCTGGACTCATTCCTCTTTGTAAGCGGCACGTCAGGTCCCAGTTGACACGCATTTATTTGCTGATTCAGCCTCAGCAACTGATGGCCAATCATGAAGAGTTTCTTGGGGTTTGGGGAGATCTCATTGCCGTCTCCTTTTCTCGCCTTTCCTCCATGTCGAATCCCTGCAACCAATGTGTTGCACTCGTCGAAGACAGGGTCCTCGAAGTCGTTGAGCACATGAGGATCAGAGGGAGACTCAACGGCCAGCTTGAGCCTGGTTCCCTTGGGGCCCTTTGACTGCACATTGTACTGCCAGAAATACTGTTTCTGCTTCTTGCCTGTGGCCACGAGAGACTCACACTCAGATGGAGTAATGCGTGTGAGATCGTCATCTGAAAGAAGAAGAAGGTTTGAAAATCTATTAATATGACAGTAAGTAAACTGACATCACTGAAACTAATAATAGGGGTCAACAATAACCTTCTACATGAAGAAAAATATATAACATATATTGCCACAAACATTATGTTATCAATATATATGTGTGTGTGTGTGTGTGTGTGTGTGTGTGTGTGTTTGTGTGTGTGCGTGTGTGTATGTGTGAGTCCAAAACGCTACTTTCAATCTTCATTCATCTCTATTTTTTTTTAAAACCAATTCTTTCAAAAAAGCATTTTAAAAAGAACATTTAATTTCTTAAAACTCACTCAATCACAAAAGAGTCCAAAATAGAAGACCCCTGTCAAGAGTAGGTTAGGCCCATTTATGTTATGAAGAGTTAAGAATGTTAAAGCAATTCTAGTTTCTAAGAACAAGTTTCAAGTTGCTAACACTTACCAATGTCAGAATAATCGTCATCATCACTGTCATCAACATCCTTGTCTCCGTACGCCTCATCAAATTCATCATCATCTGACGTATGTTCCGATCCTCCGGAATCTGAAAGAATTAAAACAGAGAACATTATAACTAAGATGCTGAAACAGGACAACCGACATAAACATTATATTGGAACGCTTAACTTACATACACACAATAAGGATTGGGAGGCTGATAATGAGCAGTACGGGTTCTCATAACCTTTCAAGGTCTTGAAGAACAGAACTAAAACAGAATTACAAACTTGGGGGTTGAATAAACTCGCCCCAAAATGAATTGGCAAGGAATCTACACTTTGATCCTGGGCCAAAATAACACGAATAGAAATGACGGTATAAGACCTATAAGCGAGTGAGTTGGGACGGTGGAATTCGTGGTGAGCTGAGCATGCAGGACAAACTGATAAAATTGTTTGTCTGAATTCGCAGTCAAAAGTTGGTGGGAAAAGTGTGTGCTCATGCATGTGGTGTCGCGCGCGCGTGTAACTTACACCCACGCTGTGCAACAACAACAATCCCCACCACACGGACAAAAACAGAAGTCGGATGTAACCCATCACCCCCCCCCCCCCCCCCCCAAGAAAAACATAACAGACAACAGCAACAGACAACAGCAACAAAAAACAACAGCAACAAAAAACAAACAACAAACAAAAACAAAAAAGCAACAAAAAGCACAAAAAAACAACCGAGGGTGAGAAGCATACGGAATAAAGAAGGAACGTTTGGTGCTGTTACTCCTCTTTTTAGGTCAGGGAATTTTCGGGAAAAAGGAATGAGCTACAAGTACACGTAAACAAATCACCCTGTGTAGCATCTATGAGACACTAAGGTCCACACAAGAATAAAGATCAGCGACTGGAAAAGAGGGACAGTATGTGTAACCAGATCCACCATAAAACCACTCTGTAACCTAGCATAAACATAAAACAGGACACAGGGGAGAGATACATAGAGAGAGAGAGAGATAGAGAGAGATAGAGAGAGAGGGGGGGGAGAGAGAGAGAGAGAGAGAGAGAGAGAGAGGTTGATGGAAAGAAAACAACAGTTGAGGGGGGAAAAAACAAAACAGGCCGCCAATGTCGGGAACAGTGCCAGGTCACCTCAGCAGCTGACGATGTAAACATTGGCACCGAGCCAGTCGGCTCTCTGCCTACGGACTACGAACACGCACGCACATTCACACACACGCACGCGCACACACACAGGGCGCGAGAGCAAGGTAACCACTGGCGATCACGAGGGATGAGGGTGATTGACCGTATGCTGGGTCATTTTCTAACATCGGGGCGGAAAAGTGAAGGGGGGGGGGGGGAATGGAATTCTCAATTTCAAAACTAATTCTTATTTCGTTTCAGACAAAGTAAGATGTCACTGTGGGGTGCAGACAAGACTTGCTGATACTATTGTTGTTGTTTTCGTTTATCAAAAAGACCTAGATCTACATATTCGTTGGAGAACGGACAAATATTTTAGTAAACAGAATTTCAAATCCCCCTCCCGTTCCAGCATTAGATATAGAGAGAGACTAGACAGCGGTGGAGACAGTCAGACATCCTGAGGGTAATGTTTATTTAATTTATCCAACAAGCTCTAAAAAGAAACAACATTATAACTTTTTAAAGGCAAAATTTACATCTCAGAGGCGCCGTTGCGCCTGTCGCCAAAACAGGATTCTGTCTCGGAAGAGGAAGGTTGAAGTATTGAACCAACGACATGTTTCGGGGGTCACGATTGGTCAAAAAGAGATCCTCCTTGCTTTGCTCCCTATCCGCAGGACAGGGCAACAGCGACACAGCCACGTCCAGGTCGCTTCTAAACTAGTTCAGTTGGTTCCGGGTTTGAGTTCGACTGGGTTTTGAAGAAAATCCACTTAAGTTTTGACACACGTCAACAAGTGTCTGGGAAAAAAGACACGGAAGAACTGGACACGCGAGATAAATGAGAGAAGTTGCGTTTTTGCGTCAAGCTGAAAAAACTGGGAAAAGCGCGTGTTTTAGTTTTGAGCTTAAGTTATGTAGTTCCAGATAGGCTAAAGAAGTTTTCACCGAGCACGGAGGCGGAAGATGACTTCATAAACACTTTGAAAATTTAACATACCACACGTCCCTCGCCAAGGAAAACAGTTCCCTAACAAACAAACAAAAAAATGCCCAAAAAACAAAACAAAACCGGTAGGCCTAAGGCAAAAACCGGACCACAGCACACCTTCAAACACAATCGATGAACCGTACACGCGCTACGGAAAAACCCACACAGGCCTAAATCTACACGTAATTCGATATAACAAAAAGAAAACAGCCCAATGGTAAAATTCCGATCCCTAGCGGGCTATGAATGCCATCTTGCGATAACCGGTAAGATACATCGGAGGACAACCAACAGAAGTGGAGTAGCGAGTGCTGTGATTTGTCCACTGCCACGAGGCTCTCATCACACCCAGACTACAGGACACGACAAAGAGGGGGCGAGGGGAGGGGCGGGGAAGGGTGCGGCAGTCTGGTAGACAAGTCAACACCAACACACTGAAAGAAGAGAGCAACAAAGAAAGACCAACGTCCAATAACACTTAACACTTTAGACCCTGTGGTAAGAAAATTTGAAATTCAGATGACGAAGAAAATAAATATCCTCCTCCCCCCCCCACACACACACACACACACACACACACACACACACACACACACACACATTTTTACGGCTGTGATCTGCGATAAACAAAACCATCAGTTGATCTATCTCGACCATCACAACAAGCCTAGGCTCTTATCATCACTCCCAATCACCAAGTGTTGTTTATCAGAAGGTAGCGGGAGGGAAGGGAGGGGAAAACGAACGCCACTGACAGTCGAGGGCGGGCGAACCCAGCGCCCCATGCCTGTAACGCGTGGCAGAATGAAAAGAATGAGAAAATAAAAAAACGCCCACGTAAACCACTCCTTCCTTTCGCTTTGCTATACTCTCACGAACTCCCACTCCCGCTGCTACCCATTCACTTTATCGCACTATTTGCGAATTCCCCAATGAGGCTGCCAAGTAGTTAAGCGGACTGTCGACTTTATGAGCACCTGACAACCCCCCCCCCCCCCCCCCCCCCCCCCCCCCACTCTCCCGTCCATCAAACATTATTTGGAAAATTGTCGCCATTTAAAAGTTTGAAAGGGAAAAAAGAAAAATTAAATTTTTAACATATAATAGTATGGTGTCGAATATCATGACGTGTTAGTGTTCACAATACGGTATGATGATGTCGTGGGTGTTCTGGTAGCCGAGACCAGTCGAGCGATCATTAAAAATAATATCAAATAAACAGGAAACGATATATCCTACGTCAGACTGTCCTGCCTTGCCCCTGGTGGAAACAGGTGGCCTTGGGCACATCAGCGATATAATGTTCCGCCTGCCAGTTGAAATCATGCTATACGTCACACGCACACGCACACACACACACACACTTATTCCCCCAATCCCGCTCGGGCAAATTAGTGGGCGGGGGGAAATGATAGGATCAATACCGTATTAAAACAATGACCATGGGATGAACAACAAATGTACTCAGAAAGAGAGA